TAAAACACTGATGGTAATAGAAGAAAAAGAGCATTAAGATTTTTAGCAATAAGGTCAGTGATAATAACTTGATATTTATTTATCACTGAATAAGTTTAATTTATAAACTGAGTAAAACACATGCATATTCTTTGTAGGAAGACTGAAACATCGAATTTCTTACTGGGTAGAATTGGTCCTATAATAGGTAATTTAATTACAGTTTCAAGATATATACAACTGGAAGAGTAAACCACAGAGCAAGGAATGAAGAAAATTATTTTCAAGTCTTTCACTAAACTATCTTACCCTGTATACATCAATGTGAAAAAATAATTAGGGTAAAGCTTATAATTGATGTCGTCTAACGTATGGGATGAGCGATATATCCTTGCAATAAAATGGAACCATAGAATAGCAATATAAAGGAAAGTTTTATAGCAGTTTTAATGTTAACGATATTGAAGTATATAATCTCCCCACAATATCAGTGCTAGTTTAGAATATCATTGCTGGTGTGACAAATGTAAAAGCAGTATCAGGAAAGAGAAATTTCAGAATGTATCATGAATAAACGAATGCTGAATCACTTTCGAGAATAGATAATATTAATAAAAGCTTTACAAATCCTGAAGATTTTGCAGATATTAATTATGGTGGCTTTGAGTAGCGAAGGTCACATATCACAACCTCGTATTCTACAAATAGTAACAGGATAAACATCCTGTAGAGTATTTTTGAACTATTTAGCAACTGTAATCGAAGGAAGAATTCAACCAATAAGAAAAGTTTCACACCATAATAGTTGAATTGGTCTAAACGAGTCTGTTGTTTGAAAATGCTGAAAGATGTTCATATATCGAGGTATAGGATTAAAACTGATTCCCGAAGACCAAGTTGAATAAAGACTGTTAGATTATTTAAACTGATGAGTCGAGATTCTAAGAATCCATGTTGTGAATAGGTAGCAAGCTTTTCCACCAATAAAACAATCGGACATTTTGACACAAACCATTTTCTTTGTAATCCTACATATAACTGAAGTGATAAAAACGTACCCATAAATGTGTAGGGTAGTATTTTCACCAGTTCGTTATATATGTTTACACATAATGTTTAAATCTGTCAACTTGTTTACTGTTATGGCTGATCGTCAATAATTGTTATTGGAATCGCTTACTACTTACATTTGTCAAACAAGGAACCACTACAATTCCCAGGACGCGAAGTAAAGACATCAAGACTGGTACAAGTGAAGATTTATTAAACCCAAAACCCACTGACGACCGTAGTCGGAAACACACTCATTTTATATTGACTGAACACCCACTTTGATTATTAGTTAGAATGCAATCACATATATAAAAGATACCCCAAGTTATAACAAATCACGTACTGCATATCCTGCTGAACATAGTTCGACTTAATTTAATGCAAGGATGTCGTATCTTGGATAAACAACGCGCTCAAATCAAATGTTATACTGAATGAAATATTGTCGACGCCAACATTAAGTAAAAAAGAACTAGTTATGTTAATCACAACAAAGAAATCTATGCTTTTACATAAATACTCTCTATTACATGGGATATAAAGGGTACTATCGTCCTTTACAAGCGTTATTGTAAATTAATTGTTTCCATATACTCTAGTGGGAACCCCATCTTGGTATGGTGTTCGACTTAAACAGAACCATGTAAACTTGGCGATGACAGATTGGGACTAATAACTAATGTGTGTAAGAGTTGTATAAACTGGGTAAATAGAGGGAACACTAGTCAGATAACATCATATGCTACAAGAATAGATTTCGTGACATTTTTCCACTAAGAAAATATTATTTTTACAGAGGGTTCTGAAGTTGTTGTATCCTTCAAACATACGAATCAAAATGAATTACGGTCTGCTGACACTGTATATGAAATTCTGTTGGATATCTTCTGACATATCATAACTCACTTCTGTTTACTACCCACTTCCGACACAATCATCGACTATATACTACCTGGAATCGTCTCACTGAAATAGTCCTAAAGACAATCAGCTACTAATAATTTGATTGTATACTGGATTACCAATTATCTAGCGAATTCCGAACTTTTTATAAGTTTTGGTGTTCGACAAAACTCTCAGTACACATCCGGGTAGGCACTATGGTTAAATAGCATCATTAAATATACCTTTGTATGTACTTTTATATGTATACAGACCGTTGCTACTCATTTATTTTTTCTGCCCGATAGTGTTAAAACATGTCAAATCCGTGTATAAAACCCTCTTTTTATCATGGCTTCTTAAGGAAAAGATAAGTTTCAAGTTGATGCACTGTACTTTTATCCCTCAAAAAAGAACGTCTCTACCAATAAGGCGGTGACAGTTATTGAAATACACCTGTCAGTGCAAATAAACTCACACAAAAAGACAATAACACATAACTTGAGATTTACTGATCAACTGACTCACTGATTACGAAATAATATACTCTTAAATGAATTTTGTTATGCCATGAAGTAAAATGTGCCAAATAGATATACTACTCATAAAATGTAAGTAGCGTAACTGGTAGTACACATCCGAGTTCGTAGTCAACGCTAACCTGGTTGGGCAAAGCTGAAGTTGAATTAAAACTAAGAATTACTTAAATGATCGCTTTTCTTTTAATTAACTGCGAAATTCATCAATATTTCTTTGACTACATAAGATTGACCCAATAGATAAGTCCTATCAGGAAATGATTTAAATCCAAACTCTTCAAATCATCCTAAATTTAGATGATGTGGTTTTTGGAGATTGGATTTTAAGATGGTACTATTCATCAGTTGGCTTCAGTCATTCAGCGTAATTTGAATAGGATTACGACACGGGAGATTCTGAAAAAATCGTGAAACTTTTCATCTGTCGTGGTTAGAAGACTGAATAGATCTTGAACATTAGAAACGTATCGCCCTCTTGAGGGCTGTTATCACTTACCAGTTGCTCCCACTGAGTTATTAATTTGGAAATCAATTGACCACCAACGACTGATGTTGATTAGTGAGCAACTGAAAACCAGGGAGGTTGCTGCCCCATCTTAGTTTGAAATCATTGCCAGTACACAATAATGACCGCAACTACTTGTTACATAAAGCACCTCTTACCAAACGAATCACTCGTAACTTAAAAATGTATGGACTACTGGATTATCTCATCTAAAATCCTGAACTGACGTTTCCGTCACCTATAGTGTGGATACATCCTAGCTTAATATAATGACAATTGACCTAAAGCATCTTCACCTCTTGAATATCAATCACAGTACAGGTATTTTCAGGCCGAAGAGAAAACCCTTGAAAACACAAACTTTAAACATCAAGGTCATGATGCGGTCAATAAGACTATTAATCAATAAAGCACATAACGCTAACACAACCACCAGCGCTAACGTAATGCATCCCATTTCTACTTGTCATCGACATCCCCAAGTACCATCTTAGTATTACCTGCTGCGTGACACTACGAATCACCGAAATAATGGAGTGAATATAATTGAACTTATTGCATCCTAAATTTTCAACAACACAATACTGTGAAGCGTATTTAGCCACTAATCAAAAGGAGTCACTCACTATATATTTAAGAAATTCACTTTAATAAGAGTAAGGAAATAGGATATAATCATAAGTTTCAAATGACTATTGACAGTACCATCACAACTACAAACTTGATCAAACCGGGAAATGAACTACACAATATAGTTTTTGAACGTAAACGTTCACTAAATTCATTATGAGCCGTCAAGCATCATAAAGAATTTTATTCTATTAACGAGAATATTCAGTGAAAATTATTTTCAGTAATCAGAAAACGATTGTGAAATAATTATTGAGTTCAAATATTCTCTATTTGCTTTATTTTTTTAGAATTCAGTTTCCCGAAATTTAATATCTATTTTTGTTCATCAAGGGAAGACAGACTAAAAGTTACGTTTTGGGAAATTATGGGACATTCTAGAAGTTTATACTTTGCTAGTATTTACGATTCCTTTAAAAACAACTTTCCCCTCCATGTGAATGCGATCCCGATTTCATAAACACTTACATCACAAAACTGGGTGGTCACGAAGCTGATGTTTATTATTACTGCAAAATATTAATATTTCTCAATCCTATAGACAGTAGAGATAAAACAAATGTTAGTTTGCCGACATCTCAATGTGAAAGATCGCCGTCTCAATAAATTAGCCCTTTACGTTTGTAAAAAATCTTCCTGACCTATATTTACAAGCAAAAACAGTCGCTAGTAACCAGATCATTAATCACAACTCAATGGGGGTTTAAATACATTCTCGCTGTAAATAGAACCACGGTGGTTACTTTATTTAAACACAAACATTCGTACAAAGAGGCACCAAGAATATATGCACCACAATTCGTCATTCGACTTGTGTGAGGGCTGGAATATTGCATGGGCGTTCAAACCACAGTGATTAGCTTGAATACAACGTGGTTTAAATACTACATCTGATGAACTAATTGAATATACTAACCTGACACCTGTACATAATGTAAAGCAACAACATCCCAACTATTCAAACTGTCATTAAACAAAATGACATCAGTGGTTCGAAATCAACTATTTTGAAAGCCTCGGAATATAAGTAGTGTTATCACGCAATTACATAGTATAGAAATTACTGACTGTCTCCAGAATACCACATATTCATCCATGTGAAATTTTAAGTTTGGATTTCCATAATTTTATTAATTCTCACCTTAGATACATTCACATCCATATTATTATAGCACAACAATGATCTTGAATTCACGATTCGTAGGACATACTAAATCATTAAATTAGTTTTTCAATGCACTGATCAGATTAAACAAACGAACCCTTAGAAAACATTCGGGAAAAGGTAAATAATAGTAACATTTCTAAATGAAAGAAAGAAAATGCAATATACAAACAACTTATATTTCATGATTCCAACTGATGTATTTATTGTTTACTTCACAAACAATTGATGATAAAGCTAGTTTTGTTTAATGCCTTCGAGGAGCTCGACGACGAGGAGCAGCTTTAATGATGTCATCTACACGTATTATCATTTCCGCAGCTTCTGCAGCTGATGTCACCAAATGATGCTTTACGTCATACGATTCAATGATCCCGAGTTCATTCATATCTGCAATTACTCCATTGTTCATATCTAAAAACAAGCAGAAGATAAATTAAAAACTGACCTAACAAATACTCGTTAATAAAGTTAACCGTAATATGATTCAATAATTATCAATAAAGGCATTAGTTTAATGAATTTCTTGATAACAAAATGTTATCCTACATTTAAGTAAGATGCACTTCATAATCCTTACCCAAACCCATGGATTTTTCACCATTTGCATGAGAAGCACGTAACTGAGAGATCAAGTCTGCGCTATCATAACCACCATTATCTGCTATTATAGAAGGCAAGCGTCTCAAAGCTCGACCGAAGGACTCCATAGCTAAAGATATTTTTCCTGGTGTTTTAGCAGCACCCTGTGCTACTGCTTCAGCCATCCACATCTCCATAGCTCCACCACCACAAACTGTCCGGGGATTTTTAACTGTGAGAGCCAAAACACATAAAGCGTCATGAAGAGAGCGTTCTGCTTCTGCCAGGATACTTTTTGTAGCACCCCTCAAGACAATCGTGCAAGCCTCACCCATTGCAACACCGCTGAATCGAAGTAACTTGTCTTCACCAATTGTAACCTGAGAGAATGATGAACAATTAGAGTCAACGTTAAAAATATATAAAGTAATAAAGGCGTATGCAGCTATAAAAAATTTTCAGAAAAGCTTTGAAGTCAAACAATTATTAAATAAAATTAACTAAGGCGATCGATAGTCATTATGAGTCTTTACAAGTACAGATATATTTAAACATTTTATTGAAAAACAGCATCTCGAGTTCAATCCCAGTTACTAAGCTGATACTATACTACAAATATGTGAAGCTATGGATGAATGGAACTCCGCCTGTAGCTCTTCTAGAGTTACTGCCGGTCCCAAGCCCGGGTAAAGGAGGAGGGTTGGGCATGGGGTTAGCGTCCCCATCCCGTAGGAAACTAACTCGCTAAAAAAACGCTTACCAGAAAAAATAATTCAAACCATTTTAACTCTGCCCTGGGAGTTAGAAGTTCTTCAGTTAGAAGAATTATGACGCTTCATGGTGAAAGCCGAGTTCCTTCGGAAGCCACGAGGCCGATGCCCCTTCTAACGACCAGAGCAAAAATTTTATAGGTACATGGAACGTCCGAACAATGTGGGAGAACGGGAAGACCAGTCAAATAGCAACGGAAATGAGGAGATACAATTTGGCAGTACTGGGAATCAGCGAAACCCATTGGATCCAAGCTGGACAGAAAAGGCTAGCTACGGGAGAGATGCTGCTATACTCCGGTCACGAAAAGGAGAATGCTCCACACACTCAGGGAGTCGCTCTTATGCTGTCCAAAGTAGCACGAAATGCACTTGTAGGATGGGAATCTCACGGATCCAGAATCATCAAAGCATCATTCAAAACAAAGAAGGAGGGGACCACAATGAATATTATCCAATGTTATGCACCCACCAATGATAGCAACGACGACATTAAAGATCAGTTCTACGAGCGTCTGCAGTCATTGAGAAATGCACAAAAAAGGACCTAACCATTCTAATGGGAGATCTAAATGCCAAAGTCGGAATAGACAACACCGGATATGAAGATATTATGGGACGACATGGACTGGGACAGAGAAACGAAAATGGAGAAAGATTTGCAAATCTATGTGCATTCAACAAATTGGTCATAGGGGGCACAATATTTCCACACAAGGCTACATGGATCTCACCGGACCACACTACAGAGAAGCAAATAGATCATATTTGCATCAACAAAAAATTCCGAAGGACAATGGAAGATGTGAGAACCAGGAGAGGAGCTGATATAGCTTCAGATCACCACCTAGTTGTAGCCAACTTAAAACTGAAGCTAAAAAAGAACTGGACAAATGGACAAACAACAATACAAAGGTTCAATACGGCCTTCTTTCGAGATACTGACAGACTCAATGAATTCAAGTGAGGACCGGAGTCAGACAAGGCTGTTTACTCTCTCCCTTCCTCTTTCCTTTGATGGTCGACTCGATTATGAGGACCTCGACATCTGGAAAAAACACGGAATACAATGGACAGCTCAGAATCAATTAGACGATTTGGACTTCGCAGATGACCTAGCTCTCCTATCGCATACACACGAACAGATACAGATAAAGACAGCCAGTGTAGCAGCAGTCTCTGCATCAGTAGGCCTCAGTATACACAAAGGGAAAACCAAGGTCCTCAAATTCAAGGCGGAGAACAGCAATCCAATCACTCTTGATGGCGAAACTCTGGAAAATGTTGAGTCCTTCACATACCTAGGAAGCATGTACTAAATATATAGATAGTGTGAAGGTACCTACATCTCAATGAACAATTACAAAGCATCGTATCTATCTTGGAAGGCTCAGTTAAAACTGCAGTAATACAATAAGGATTTTTCATCGTATACATCAAGTCAAAAATGCCAAATGAGAAAGATCTATAAAATGTTAAGTTGTTATTTTTTTAAAAATTTGAAATTAAGACAGTCAAAAAGATTTTATAACCAAGTAGGGGCATTCATCCAGTGCTACATTACAGAGGAAGAAATGTTAAGATAACTCACATACTCAGTAGGACAGGTTATTTAATTTAGATTATGATGGAGGTTCTAAAACAATTATTAAAAGTTTACGTACTTCTTCTATCAAATCACAATGTCCTAATTTTGTAGTCTCCGGAGAGTCAAATGTGGAAACGATTTCTCCACCAGTAACTAGAGCCAACCGTTCCACACCTTCGAAATCTGCATGCTCAATTGCCATAATACCAGCATCAGCAAACAACTGCTCGGGGTAGTTATATATTAACTGCCTGAAAATAAGATTATAAGTTAACATTTTGCGATATATATATAGCATACTCTTTGACATAAAAACCAATTCACTTATTGGGACTTTTACAAGTGTAAGTAACAGTATACAATATATGAAGCTTATAATAATCATAATGAATAAGAAGACATGCAATAGACTTTTTCATGTAATTAAAAAAGATAGTCTAAAAAAGTAGCAAAAACGGATTGGCTTTAATGTAAGAAGTTGATAACAGCCAAGTTGGATACTTCGGAAAACAGAAATAAATGACTATAAAAACATTGGATTTAGAATACAGCAAAATATCTCTACTAATAATAAGCTAGCACTATGCAATATTCATTTGAATATAGGAATTATCTTGCTTTCAGATATTTATTTTGGTTAACTTGAAGATTTAAATACCAGACTAAATCACTTTAGATGTCCTAAGCAAGGGAGTCCACAGCACTGTGCGCTCGACCTGAAGGAGTTTGAACCCGTGAGTGAAGCGAATTTGTAATACATCTTATATCAACTACTTTCTTAGTTAATGTAAGCTTGTGGTGAAAACAACATCCTGGTACATGAAAACACCTAGAGGTGGAAATTTCAATTTACCTATTAATAAATACTGAACAGTTATGCTTTAAAATTTTGTCGACTTTGTCTTTCATCTTTTGCTTTTCGGCTAGTTCTAATTCAGCCACCTTTGAAATAGCATCTACTTGGATCTTGCTTCCAAATACTTTAATTTTATCTGCATCCATAGGAGTGTTGGCGATCAGTATTTTGGCGTTTTCCACTCTTTTAGGTTGATTTACACCAGGTCGTTTATCCAGAAGAAAGCCTTCATCCAAATAAGAATCAGTCATGGTTCCACCCAGCTTTTGAATAATCTGTAAATCAAATATTCTAGTTAGTCTCATGAGTGAGTGGCATCTGTTAAACATGATAGGAACTTTAAATCCTTACTTGAATAGCATCAAGGTTTCCACTACCTTTGAGACGAAGAACAGCATCTACCGCTAAATTTGCAAAGTGTTCTTTATGTTGTGTCAGGAGCTTGGAACTCAAAGTTGTACGTGCAATACTTAACAGACGGTTACGGAATTCAGCATCTGACTGGTTCGATAACTGATGTGCAGCCGAATCAAGAGCCGCTAAGGCCAGTTTAGTAGCTTCACGCCAACCTTGTACAATAGTTTGAGGATGAAGCTTAGCAGCAATTAGTTGTTCACCTTCCTAAATAATAACAATGAAAATAAAGCATCGCAATTAAGGCTGAATTCATGAAATTACTAACACCTGTTAATGATACTTATCAGGACCCCAAATATAAACTACTACAGTATTTAGTTTTACTACACGAGTTATGATCTCTATATTTAACTTTACTGGTGTCTACAACTCTTACAGTTTAAAATTTATCGTCTTGCTTACACAGTTATCTGATAAGTTAATATGTTCCAATGCCCACCTTATTCCGAAAATGGGAAACTGGAGATTGAAAACACTTTCCATTTTCGACTAAGAAATACATATTAATACTCAGAAATTTCTTCGGAAAGACTGTTGTTTAGAGTGATGGGTGGTGCTAGGCTTAAGCCTTAAGAGGAATACCATAACGAGACGTATACATATTTAGCAGTTATGTTCAAAGTTGTGTAAAAAGGAAACTATAAACTTCACTGTTAGCTACTATAAATGCTACACAGATCCTATTACAAACTAAGTTGTAAATTGAAAATGAACCCAAGAAGGTAAAGATCATGAAGATGATACCTATGGTCTATAGATTATATAAAGGAAAAAATCCTGAACATATCTCTTCATTAACGCAAGAGACAAAATAAAACTTTAGAAATGACTAAATTTGAATCATATCTGATTTTACTAATAACCCAACTATATGATCTCAAAGACAATTGTGAAGCGCCAACAAATAGTTAACTACTTTATTTGCCTTGGAAGTCTTATCAGCCCTGATGGGCTAGTACTTGACAATATTTCAGTAGATTCAGAAAGCACAGTTGGGTCAAGCCAACTTGCATCTTTTATCGCGTAGGTGAGATGTCCGCCTGTTAAACAAAAGTCGAGTATATTATGCAGCAGTCCGCATTATTACTCTATGGCTGTGAAACAGTTTACGAAAGCTGATGTGTGAGATGCAGATTATTTATAACAGCTGTTTCCGAGGTGTTGCTTGGAACGGCGAAGTTTTGTCAAAAATGACAAGCCAGTTGGTGAGGCTTTGAATCTTCATCAAGCGGGTTTATTGGAATATGTCACATATGCCAAACCACTGATTATTTCGATGTGAAATGTCAGCTGATGTAGGTGTTAATCTGACAGCAACAACGTAGAACTTCGTACGTACGTACATCAGTTCGAGTTGCCACACCACATTAGCACATAGATGCAGTTGTCGATTCAAATTCCATAGTGGTGAAGGTAATACAAGTATAAGCAGTAATCGGAAAGATTACGGTTTGAAGATGTTATTCAAAGAGTTTAATCCACTGAAATAAATTTGGAAAGATAAAAAGGGGCACAAAGAATTAAGATTAGAATTTGGGAGAACACAACAAGTGGATGCACCTGCGCCACTGGAAACGATTCTGAGCCATGTCATTCAGGGTCTCCAACCATCGGTTGCTATCGTATCGCGGATCACAACCATGTAGTCTACACCTACCAACATGGCTCAGTTCACTTGTCAGTGACTTCATGAACTTGTGCCATGTTTTGGTCTAGCCGCCCCTAGCTTTCTTCCAACCTACTCCTACACCGTAAAACATAGCACGTCGGGGCAGTCGGTGGTTGGGCATACGTAACACGTGTCCCAGCCATCTCAATTAATGAAGTTTCATTACTTCATCACTTGATTTGCCATCCCTACCTAGTACTCGTTTCCTAACAACTGAGTTACCTACTCTGTGGTCCCAGGATATACGAGCAATGTTTAGAAGACACTTATGATCAAATACTAGTAACCTACTAATATCTTCTACTCTTACTGGCCATGTTTCACTGCCATAAAGAACGACGGAACGAACTGCTCCGCAGTAAACCCGTCCTTTGATTGAGAGACGGATATCTCGCCTGCGCCGTAAATGACGCAAGTTGGTAAAACCCAGTCGAGCCTTCTGTATCCGTGCTGAGATTTCATCACACACCAGACCACAAGGGCTGATGAGACTTCCAAGATAAGTGAAGCGGTCGACACACTCAACTACTTCACTCCCTATAATAAGTTCAAGTGCCAATGGCACCCAATCCTGAAGCAATATTTGGCATTTCGAGGGGGAGAATCGCATCCCAAACATGTTTGCATTGTTGCTTATAGTGGTCAGAAGACTCTGCATTTTGTCAGCGTCTTCACTAAACAAAACTATGTCATCGGTATGTTCCAAGTCAACGAGTGAATCTCCCAGAAGAAGTTCAACCCCTGGAAATTTAGATGAGGAAAGTGTCATCTCTGAAAGCACGTCGACGACAAAGTTGGACAAGAATGGAGAGAGTGGACAACCCCGACGAACACCACTTGAGGTAATCAATTCTGATGACAGTTCGCCATAAGCTCTCACTCGACCAGTTGTGTTTGAGTAGAGAGCCTTTACAAGGTTAATGTACTTCTTTGGTACTCCTTTCAGTGACAAACACTGCCATAGAACCTCACGATCGACAGTCAAATGCCGCCTTAAGGTCCAGAAATACTACGATTGTGGGGCGTCTGAATGTGTGTCTATGTTCTGGGACCTGAAAGAGTGTGAATATCTGATCTATACAACCACTTCCAGGTCGGAAACCAGCCCGGTTTTCTCTAGTCTGCTCTTCACGAGCTTTAGTTAGGCGTTGAAGTATTATTGAAGCTAATATTTTAGACATTATATTAGTCAAACTGATTCCTCTGTGATTGTCACGAGAGGACTTTTGTCCTTTCTTATAGCCTGGCACAATCAGTGATTGAGACCAGTCAGATGGGATTACGTCCAATTCCCGAATCCTACCTGAGACCTCAGTCAATCTCACTACTAGTACTGGACCACCATCCTTAAAAATCCCAGGAGTAAACCTGTCAGGGCCTGTTGCTCTCTCACACTTTAGATTTCTTATAGCTTTTTCAACTTCGTAAAGAGTCGGAGGACCTACATTAACTTGCCATTCAGGTTGACTGGAGATCGTGGGAAACCGAAGTGTGACTGAATGCCAGTTGAACTGGTCCCCAAAGTGTTATTTTATTATTATTTCAACACATAAATATTGGTATAAGAGGGCACCAAATATATATGCGCCACACCATATTTGTGTGTATGTGGGCTGTGATACTGCCCGGGTGCCCAGACCGAAACAGATGGTTTTCTTAGGGGGCCACACCCGAAGGTCTGATCCACAAGGCAGTGGAGCAACGTAAGGAGATGCAGTCTCATGGTAGCCGATGACCAACAATTATTTCATACGTCATTTGTTCCCTCAGGATACTGGAGACCATGTGCACCATTGGTTTGGAAACCGGTTAAAGCGCCGGACATCCGCTTTTCGTCCTCTCATTTTCGTAAACAACACCCCCACCACAAGAAGGCAGTGAGTAGGACTTCCCTGGCAGAGGCTGTATGCGCGTGGCCGTGTGAGAGCATTTCAAGAGGGAGGGCGGGTCCACCCCACTTGCCATACCAGGGCATTCGGGGGCATCCCCAAAGTGTTCCGCCCATCGATCCAATCTCTTGGATTGAGAATGCATAATATGTCCATCTTTCTCTGAGATTGTTTCGCTAACAGTCGGGTTCCTAATACCGGTTTCCTTAACAAGTCAACAATTGTCTGCTATTACCTATTGCCGCTGTCTTTTCCATCTCTCTTGCTTTCGCTACCCACCACCGTTCACGATCATTGCGTAGGCTTCTTGTCAGCTTGCACTTAAACTGACTCTGCTCTTCGTTATGTTAAGAGCCAGATGGAATGAGTTTTCAAACATCTATCAGTGCGGTAGGTGCTGCTGAGATCCAGTGTTTCTCTCTAACCTTATGCTTTACCGCACCAGCAGATATTACTGCTGTTTCCCCAGCTTTTCGGATATCATTCCATGCTGCCTCGGGGTGGGCAGCACATACATGGCTGCCTAACTGTTTTTCTAGTCGTTCCTGAAATATAATCTTAGCTTGACTATCATTAGGTAGGGCCCAGAGAGGTTTCCTTGCAGCGTCTTTCCTACGTCCAGTAAGACGCAGGAAAATACGCGCTCGCACTAGGACATAATCTGAATGTGCTCCAGAATGAGCGACAGTCTTCTATCGAGCTCCTCCTTCGGTGGCTGATAGCGACGTTGGGATCTATTCGGGGCTCGCAATGTCAATAGATGTTTTCTCTCATGCTTAAGTTAGTATTTGCAAGAGACAGGCGGTTATCTGAGCATAACTGCAACAGACGGCCACCATTACCTGTTCTTTGAGCTACGATACCACAGTATTAACCCCGGTGTCTTTCCTTTTTGCTTAGTTTACCTATTTGAGCATTAGGTGTAGGTACCAGTCCATTAGTCGTATTTAAGGATGTAAACTACCCGGTTGGGATCCAAACAATAACTGCAATCAGTACTTGGATAAATTGGGTGGAAGGCTTAAACTTGTTCGCTCTTGAGATGTATGCTTTTAGTCTCCCTAAAGATCCTGAAGTTCTAATATTAATTTATACGTACCTTTGTTGTATTCAGTCCTAATTACCGCTGAGAATATATTATTCCGCCTCATTTGCTATAAATGTTGATTTCATTGGATCATGTTAATTTGGTACGGTGACCAGAGCCTACTCATATTTTTGTCAGGTTATATGTTCATCATGATTAACTGACTAAACCACACATTATTCTGTCACCGGATTATTTAATGGATCAATGGGTTTAGTGCGACCAATCTTTAATGTGGGAGTTGTTTACAGATAATACCTACAGTATAGTGATATCTAGAGTGTCTAACGATAAGGTTAGGCGTGCAAATGTAAATAAACATGAGAACAAGGTTAAGATTGTGACTTTTTATAAACTTAGACAAATGGAACAGATGTTACGTACACCCAGATGCCACGCACTTGGACATGCAATGTTGGCTGGAAGAAGGCTAAAAACCGAAATAATACCTGATCTCAGTAACTATTGGCCAAGCTTATGCCGTGAAATATAGACTACCTATTTGAGGCAATATTCCTTACCGATAATTTATACCTTCTATGGTATGGCCCGAAATCGGTTTGCGTATTAAACGTATTTATTTTCTACTGTTATCTAGATTTTGAGATTTAATACTTCATACCTATTACTCTATGAAAGTTCACCTAGTATCCTGTATCATAAGTTATATCACCACAGTTAACAATACTGTTATTTCGAATTCTTAGTATGTATCTTGTTAATTTAATATCACTGTCCTGTGGTGTAACAACTTAGGTTAGTATACTTGTATTACGTCCTATGTTGATTATTTCTGCCTGATATATCAAGGATGAGTTCTCAAAATTTATGGAAATAATTATCACGCGCCACAAAAACAGGCATATAAAGGCTTATTACATTTTTCACATTTGATAACGTTCGCATCGACTGAATTTTCTGGCATTGATCTCCTACCAGAAGGTCCACTTAACGACTTAGAATACGCAGATGATATAGTCCTGTTTAGTGAAGACGCTGAAAAAATGTAGTCTTTTGGTAGCACTAAGCAACAATGCCAGAATGTTTGAGATACGCTTCTCCCCCTCTAAATACAAGTTGTTGCTTCAGGAGTGGTAATTTGGACCAATGCATATATGTGCTTGGTCCTACGATGTAGCTGACTGACTTAGACAACCTCAGCACATAGTCATCAACAGGTTATCATTAGGTATTAGATAACATATAACTAAGGTATAATTTGATTGAGAAATTAAGATCGCAGGGCAAGGGAAGTTAAAGAGCAGTTGTTCAACTAATTTACACCGAGAGCTACCAAATGATTCCGAATATACGTATAAGACTACAGTCATCAGCATTAATAAGTGATTAGTAGTAAAAACTTACACGCAATAATTCTGCGGCTAGAACAGTTACTGAAGTTGTACCATCACCAACCTCATCATCTTGAACTTTACTCATTTCTAAATTGCCATAAATGTTAAACAGAATTAGGATTTAACATACCAACAAGGATCTTAGCTGCAGGATTATCTACCCCGATTGACTTCAGAATAGTAGCACCATCATTTGTCACTTCGACAGTTTCTCCGGATGAGAGGAGGATTTTGTCCATTCCTTTAGGACCCAAAGTAGTCTTAACAAGATCACCGATAGCAATGGCTCCAATGAAGGAAGACTAAAATAAAGATTCTTAAGTGAAACTTACAAGTCGGGCGGTTTCTGCCTTTTCTTCATCGGCACCAGCACTTAGAATTGAAATTGGTTGCAGTGAAAGCTAATTAAAATGAAGAGGATAAGCAACCAGATTACAGACAGACAATAATAATCTGTTGGACACTTCGACATACTTAAATGAGTCACCAATTAGACTTGAAAGACACTAGAACTCAATATGCAAGTCAAATTAAGCGTACAATCAGATGAAAATGCTTTTCATTCAATTCAAGAAGTTATATTTACAGCCTTTTTCATGAAGTCTTGCCTTGAGTCAAAATGAACTTCTATAATGTAAACTACAACTTAGAATTGCTAGAGTACATCTAACTTTCAAAAGTGGAAGAACCACATTCGAATAGTACAAAAGCGTTTAGTAAGGAGAAACATTTCCAGAAAATGATGGTATACAACCTACTGAAGCTCTTTAATTTCCATCGAATGCTTGGAGAATTCGCTTACTACAAGAAATGTCCATAACTCTCCGAATTATGAATAAATTATTAGCTCACGTCACAGCTTTTATATTAATTATGCTGTACAAGCTCCAAGACGTCCAACCACTCCTTACTACTTTTGCGAATACAGGTATATTTTGAAATTTATCTCGACATGAGGTAGTTTGTTGTTCTGTATAACTTTAAAGTAAAATTGTGTAATAAGTCACTAAAAAGCACAAATCCCATAAACGTTAGAAACCTTAGGCCAGTTTTATCACATAACAAGTTTAATTACAAACAAGTAGGGAATACCCCCCCCCACTGTTATATAGTTTTATGCCTCGGTAAGCTTAAAGGCCAATGGTGTGAAAATCACAAAAATACGGACGATGACACAAAAGACCACAAGCCTAGAGTCACATAGCATTACCATTGAAGTAACTACTTCTGTAAATTTGATTTTCTTGTTGTGCTAATGAGGTGTGGCAACTTGGATCGATGTATATATGTGCCTGATCCTACGTTGTAGATGACTGAAACAAATGACCCTTGACTTGGTATACTTTTTGACCTAAATACGTTAGTACTTAATGGTATAAATGAAGATGATGGGGATTTATGAGGTTAATCCCCAAATTCCTTGAACTGCTGACCCGCAGATGTGAGTCTCCTTGAAAATATCAGTTGATGGTGCTACTTATCGGAAACATTTTTAAAATAAAAACGCGTGTTGCAGAAACATTTGAATACATTTTCGTTCGACAGTGAGCTTCTTGAAAAGGTTCAGAGAACGGCAACTAAGCTGATTCCCGGAATAGCGAAGCTTCCATATGAATCGCGACTGGCCAAGCTGAACCTTTTCCCGTTGTCATATCGCAGAACTAGAGGCGACTTGATTACAGTTTTCAAAATGCTTAGTGATAAATTTGCACCTGATATGCCCTCATTTTTGTCTTCCGAAACAGAGAATTTACGAGGACACTCCAAAAAAGTTCACAAGCCAAGAACAAATTACTTGTCAGCTGACTATCGACTTTCCCGTCGAACCATCAATGAGTGGAATTCACTACCTCAGCAAGTGGTTGAGGCTTCATCCGTCGACTCTTTCAAAAGAAAGTTGGATCAACTGAGGGACCACCATTGCCAGGACTAACACAGGCTATCAGGCCTCCTGTCCTTCCCAAACTGAAACTGATATTTCCAAACTAAGGATTTCCCATTGAATGTCCTCCCAAAGCAATGGATAAGGGGAACCCAAGCGTGTGATCCTGGATACTTTTTGAAATCCTCAGACGGTCTTATGCAAGTACTGTCGATGATCTCGCATAAGTCCTGGATCTCCTGGAGAGGGACCTGCGGACGAGATGCTACATTAAATGAACTTGAAGAGACGAACTGGTAACTGGAAGACACGAGTGCCATGAGAAAGACAAGAAAATTTAGTTTTATAGTCCAAATTTTTCTCCCACTGTCTCCTCTTACGCTCTTAACCTGAAGAATCGAACCGAAAAATTTGCAGTCAGTTCAGTTTTCATAATCTGGTTTCATAATATATGGTAAACTGGTCTTTTAAGAAAGTTTATTACGAATTCAAAATGGATCTAACTACTTTAAAACATTGACGGAAAACTCGCAAATGTAAACCAGAACTTAAGCATTAAAGAGAAAAACACGATAACCAACCATGATTCACTTAGATTGTATCGCTGCACGCCGATAGTTGACAACAAACACAAAAAAGCTCCTTTCAACCGTCAATAATTTCGTTGTGCTCTTTGTAAATATAAAAACAAATTCACGAGACGACGCATTCGTCCTAAGTGCTGATAAAATGATTATCATGTCCTTATTTTTGATTACGTTATATAATTTTGGCAATAGTTCACCACTCGATTTTGATTACTCATGACATAGTTAAGCTCTTACAAACACCATTATAATAAGCAACTCTACTTCACCCAACACAGCTTATTTTTAAGATGTGAGACCTTTAAAGTTGCTTGAGGAGTAACATTCAAATGGAAGGATTACTCTATGCACTAGTTGAGGGTCTAATGATTATGTCTGCTATGATCTTAATAAAGCTACTCTTTAAACTGTGAAGGTAGTCGTAGACGCAGAAAATATGGGTCAAAAGTAATTTTGGTTATTTAATTTCCTAGGTTGGAATATTTAGCTTACAGCGCAACCAATACATCGGTGTACTGAATGCTCTTTGCGTTTTATCACACACTGTCATTTCGGTAATGCTTTGTGGCTAACTTGAAAGTCACAGAGTGATTAACCATCTCTATCAGTCTATTCATTAGTACTTACCATTGTCAGGTCCCTGAAGTATTACTTTATTTTAGCCTAATTATCTATCGGAGTGAACCGCTTTTATCGTAAACAGACAATCAGTGAATGGTCGATAGAATGATAGAGATGGATGAACCGAATGCATGTTAGGAACTGACACACTGAGCAATGGTTTTAATGTTTATAGTTCTAGTCTCTTACCACAATACATTTTTTTTTGTAAAATTGTGCCTGTTCAGGGATCAATATAGTAAACACGCGGTCTGGTTGCAGTGACAGGGCAATCCAGGTAAGGTATTGACCACAAGGTGCGACTTCGATGCAAGCTAGGTAGTTACCCTTCCTACCTAATCAGATTGGATCCATCATTCACACTGGCTATCTATGCTACTATCACAACGCACAGTTTTTAGCATTTTAGTTTCTTAGAATTACAGTGCGAAATGAAATCGGACTGAGTAAGCGAAAGCCATTTATTATATTGTGGAATTATTAGTATCCTTGTCTAGTACACCACAATTTATCAATCTGCCCGTCCGATAACCTTGTTCCATTATAAGAATAACATGAATACAATGGTTATTCATAGACTTTAATCAGGAATAAAGAGGTTAATAACCCCCCGAAATCAATAGCTCTGTAACTCTTCGACATTTGATGCCATCACATTTGTGTTTAATAGACACATCTGGATGTAGGCGCTCGGTCACGCATCTGCACCAGACCACAAGTGAGTGAGCCTAGCTACGCTTTTTCTTAAGAATGCTAGTCAGCTTAGACCAAGCGTTCATCGACACAACGGTGGCATTTAAAACATATCTTCGAAATACTTTACTCCTGACTTCTGATTCGATATATTCCTTTCGCAGAAGCGTTGTCACATTCTGGATACCGAAGGCAACTTTACTGGCAAAACCGACGTATTCCGGTACACCAACTCGCAAACTGTTAGTATTTCTTTTTGGAACTTCATGTATCATTGCTTTACTTCGATTTTTACATATTGTGATACTTCTTTTAAAATTTTCGGATATTTTCCCTCTCGTTCATTCCTATGCTTTATATTCGTCATGAAGGAAAGGGCTCCTAATTTACTTAAGATCAAGACTCATGCACCACCCTCATTTCACCTAATGTCATTCTGACCTGACAAAATTGAAGAATGATTCGGCTACGCGGAGGCTGATCTCTGCGACCGACTCCAAGAATCGGTCTTAAACTTACAGTCGACAAATGGAAAACTGATGGTCACATATGATAAACAGTACGTCTATCTCAGCGTCGATTTACGTGCACCCAGTCACTGGATCTTAGTTGCTGAGCATGTTCCTATCCCAACCATTGGTGTATATCTGCTACAGCACCATGAGCTACTTATTGACATGTACAAACAGAGGTCGTTAGGATTTGCTGAAATAACGCTAACTTCTGCGTCAGTGTCGGTGAGATAGCGAGCTTTCGCTTTCACTTCTGTGATGAATAACAGACAGCTATGCTCAACGGATATGTGTGCCAGCTGGAAAGTTTCCTAAAAAGTTACTCGAGTTGGTCTTTTGTGACTCGGGAAACGGCAGAGTTTTCTATAATTTCGAGATTTACTATATTTATTATTGTGCCAGCACCAAGGAAAACTGTCTGTCTTTCGTGATTAAGAAACAGATCGTTTTCATGACGTACTCCTTCGATGTGTTTGATAGCATGTACGGTCATGACGGGGGTAATGCGTCCGACTATTAGAGAGATCTGTAACATCATTTCGTGTCGTTTTCGGCTTTCCTCTGACTGAATGGACCTCAGCATTGAGAGTTCTGGATATCTCCAGATTCGGGTCAGCAGATGCTGTCAGTCCGTCAACAGCGTTATTTTGAAATGAGACAAACACTACCTGTCCCTGCTGAGGAAGCTTATACACGAACAGTTGTCTAAATAGGCTGTCGTTGAAAGTCATTCGATCAATTATTTCTCTCAACCGTAACATGTTCGTTGCCAAGGCATGTCGCAGATCGACGTTGAAGATGCCACAAGTATTCAGAGTTTGACAACGCTTTAACCAGTAACACCTTCTAATATAACTCGTACCCACCAAGTAGAAATCAAAAGACAGAATCGAGGAGGTTCGAAGATAAATTTGATGACTATCAATATATCAGAATTGTCTGACCTAATCTGGCTAGCTATCGCAGTAGATGTTGAGCACGGCGTTCCCACTCGTGATGTGGTGCGGATGAATGACTGAGCGCCTTCAACTAGGTGAGTCCATTAAAACAGTTGGTCGGCATCCAACGTCAAAGACTTACAAGGCTATTTATTTTGCGGATTTATTTACCGCTACAACGTTATTGAGGAGTTGATCTAACCTGTATAGATCGGTTCGATCTCCGCGTTTCAGAATGAAGCGTTTTAGATTTTCAAAAAGTTCAGGAACACCACTAGTAAACACGCTGGTTTTGACGTGCCTGTTGAATTCGTGCGGCAGCGCCTTCATAACTGCGAGGAACTATCAATGTCGGTCTGTCACGCCGTGCCCATAGAAGTCAGCCTCCGCGTAGCCGAATCACTCTTCAATTTTGTCAGGTCAGAATGACATTAGGTGAAATGAGGGTGGTGCATGAATCTTGATCTTAAATAAATTAGGAGCCTTTTCCTTCATGACGAATATAAAGCATAGGAATGAACGAGAGGGAAAATATCCGAAAATTTTAAAAGTATCACAATATGTAAAAATCGAAGTAAAGCAATGATACATGAAGTTCCAAAAAGAAAGACTAACAGTTTACGAGTTGGTGTACCAGATGACGTGGGCTCATCAATGAAAATGCTACAGCTATTTTTAGTTTGGCAACACTTTAACCGGTAACACCTATAACTGAATCATACCTACCCAATTAAATCGAACATCGGAAGCGAAGAATTTCGAAGATATATTTCACATGTTATCAACATATCGCGAACTGACTGATCTAAAGTGACTAGCGGTTGCGGGACAGGTTGAGCACACCGTTACCACTTGTGATCCGATGCAGATACGTGACCGAGCGCCTACGCCCAGATGTGTCCATTAGTGTCGTAGACTTACAGAGCTGTTGATTTCTGGAATTTATTTACCGCCACACAAGGGATACGTGGCACGACGTACTCACCCGCTATCGGTGTGGTCAAGTTACCGCGCGCCTGCAGCTAGCGTATATCCAGTATATTTAACGATGTCAGCATCACCGTCGAATACCCACAGAACTACCTATTCTGAGAATTTTTTCGCTGTAGTACGTTTAGTCAAGTCTAGTGTGATGAAATGGTCCCAAAGTTAATGAGAGCAGAAGTTTTGTCTGAGCAAGTACGTTAATAGATCTGAATTGCAAGCTGATAAATGTCAGCGTATTATATATAAGCTTCATAGTTTTCGATACAGAGGGATAAAAAAGAGCAGTGATTTTTGCACTCGTTGTGATTATACTTGCTCTGGGTACTTATTGCACTAAAAAGCATGCTTGGTCTACTTTAACCAAAAGTACTTTGGCCAAAGTTTGAATTTTTTGATAAATCTTGTCCTGAGTACCTTTTTTTACTCCTTGACTAACACTCGTGTTCAAATTGTGGTCATTTTGTGTTTTTAAACCTTTTAAATCGAATTACAATGGTTGGTAAGACTTACAAATGTGGGTAACCGAATTGTTTGTTCCCCGTTGAGGAGGGAATGCAGTGTGACGATTGTGAAAAGTGGTACCACAAAATGTGTACAGGCCTAAGTCTGAAGGCTTACAAAAGATGCTCAAAGCCCAACTCGCATTGTCTTTGTATGTTCTTCTGTACGGATAAAAAGGTACTAATTCAGGAGGCTATGGCCTGTAAGCTTTGGCCTGCAAGAAAAACGATGGCGGAATCACTGATTACAAAAGCACTGACGGTGAAGAATGTGTCAGTGTAGTAAGTGCTGCTACCGGACCCGTTAAACATCTGACTGTGGTTGACGTGAACGTGAAATCTCCGTTGACATTAACGAGGAATGAAGTTTCGCTTGATATTGACATCGGCAGTCATACACCTCTAGTCAAAATAGAAGATCCGGATAAAACTGTCACCGTTCCACATAGTCCAGGTGTGTCTGTCCTGAGTGGACTTCATTAAGGCGAAAAAGAAATAGGAAGAAAAAGGCTGTGGGCAAAACGCAGCTGGTCAGCAAGAAATTGGAAGGAAAATTATCAGAAGAAAAATCCTCACTGCGTGACAAGTCAGATCTCTCTGAGTGATTAGTCATTTTTCATAAGATAAGAGAATCTTCAGATACATAATCAAAGGCAAGATTTTAACACGATCTCAATCATATTAATACATCATTAAGTAAACTACTCTCAGATACAGTTTCAGAAGTTAGTATTTGTAAGCTTTAT